CCTAGTAAATCGCGTTCACACCGGAATAAGTCCCTGAGGGAGGATTAGGCAAATGAAGCCGCTAACGTCACTTCTTCTTCTTCTTCTTCTTCTGCTTTAGGTTTACTGGCAGGCCGCAAACAACTTCACGGCGTAAATCGCCACCTGAAGCCCCGGGTAAATCGCAAGAAGCGCCGACACCTCGTCATCACTCCACCGCTCCCATGTTTTCTTTTGTGTTGCCATAAGTTAGTCTCTCTCCATTGGTGCGCTGGGCTAAGGCTAATAATGCTAATGCGAGCAAATAAAACGGCGGCTTCACAACAACTTTTCCGAGTTTTACGGGCCGTGGTTTGCAATTCACCCAGCCAATCAGAAATTGGAACCTTTTCTCCCCAGGAAAGTCCCTGCTCTCTAGCAGGGACTAAAATGGGTGAAAAGGTTAGCAAAAAAAGTTCTAGTTCCAGATCTTTTTGGTGTGAACGCAAAATCCCAGGAACTATCAGAACTACTCCTGGGAAAAGTACTCCGGTGTGAAAGCGCCTAATCGGTTGCCTACCTCTTCTAGGGTGTCTATTTGAGACACCACCTTGTTGATGTAGGAGTGAATCTTCATTAGATCCATGCTGTAAAGTGTTCCCTCCAGGAGGTCCACCATGGATTGGAGCTGGTCATTCATGCAATAAAAGGACAAGAAGTAGCATTATCCACCTTCTCCTGAACACAGATTTGACATCTTAATGTGCCTCTGTGTAACTGTAGTAATAGCTAAAGTGTCCTCAAAAAACATTTGCTCTGACCACTTATTGACATCCACTCCAGTGTTCTCAGTCTGGGGCTCATTCAGAGTCTATGTTCATTATTTGTGTATGTATTGGCTCAATCTATAGTTTAAAGTGGAGACTGACATCTGGAACTGCCTTCTGTTTCATGTGGTACATAGCGTGCTTCTCCTGCCTGTGAAACATGAAAGTGTGTTTTAGGTTTGTGAATGCTGACGTGCTCACAAAATATGTTAATTGACACACAACTATAGCCAGTTCACAGAGCTGAAGTACAACCTTTAATGCTTTTAAGCCTTGTACTTTCAAGCACTAACCCCAACCCTAACAACATATATATATATTTATTAATGATTATTATATCAATTATAAAAACTAATTTGTATTAATTAGTTTACTGCAGAACTGAAATAGAGGTATGAAAGTGGTACTCGGGATCTTTGTGGCTTTAAAAATGTCTTCTAAGACTCTTATTAAAACCCCTTTATCTTATCAGAAAATGGTAATTACTATATTATTTAAATAGTTTATTTTATGTAAGATGGAATTGTCTATCTTGTAGAAAGAAATGCTGTCCATCGTCCATCAGAAAGATGCTATGATCAGATAGATTTTGTACTTAGAGCAGATTTGAGTTTCGTGTCACCACCTTCAGTAACTCGGGGGCCTGTTTCTTCAGCTTCTCCATCTTCCACTCGTTCTCACAGGGGTTGAGGGAGGACGAGGGGGCCGTGCACGAGCACTTACAGTCGGATCCGGAGCTGACTGTCTCCACAGTGTAGTAGTCCTCCACACGCACACTGCCGCTCCGCAGCCGCTGGCAGGCGTCCCTGCTCAGAGGGCGCATGATGCACTTGCAGCGACAGTCTGAGCCCTCTGACGTCATCCGGACCGGCTCCGTCTCCCCAAAGATCTACAAGACACAATGATCTATTTTCAAATCCAAAGATATTTTTTTATTTTAGCCTTTTCTTGTGCTGTCTCTATAATCGTCATTTTGTGTTCACTAATGGCGCTTTTCCACTGCAGCACGTAGCACGGTTTGAGCGGACTTTTCCACTAGGGGTAGTTCCGGCTCAGGGCTATTTTTTCACCTTTATTTTGGCCCTCCAAAATCGAGGTTCTTACCGGGCCAACAACCGGTCTAAATATGCTAAACTAGTGACGTAAACACTCTCGACTGGTGATTGGTCAGAGAATCGTCACAATCGTTGCGTGAGATAATCCTACCAAAACATCAGCCGTTAGCTGTTAGCACTCAGAGCTCACAGCTCCTCATATCTTTTCAGAAACTAGACAAAAGTTAAACAAGTACAAACCACAGACTGTCTGTGTCGAATACAGTCGCTGGTTTATTTATGTCTGTAGGCCGTTGTTGTGAGTGTGAACGGGGCAACGTTAGCTTAGCTTGATCGATCCAATCTCCATTCAGAAAACAAGCATTTTAAAAGGTTTTTCGCCTGCCGTCTTGTCTGCAGACTTGTCAAAGCATTAATTCATGTTTTTTACTAACCGGTGTCAGTATGTTGTTACTCAAGTTGTTTGCAGCATTTTTTAAAACAGAGGAGCTACAGACATGGCAAAAAAAAGCTTTTACGCAGCGTCGCTCCCCCCCGCCGAACAGCCGATCGCCCCGCCTACACTGCGTTACTATAGTTACTAGCAGTGTTGGGCAAGTTACTTCCAAAATGTAATATATTACATATTACTTATTAGTCTCTTTTGAAAGTAATAAGTTACATTACAATATTACTGTTTCTGAAATGTAATGAGTTACACTACTTTTTAGTTACTTTTCATACATGCCAACCTTTCCAAATCCAAAAGAGGTAGGTTTGCGCGCGGCAAATGTGCACGCCCAAATTAGGTAATCAGAAGAAATGGAACCCCAGTAATTACATGTATAAACCATGTATTTAACATATATTGCATCATTTTATGCATTTTTCAGAAAAAGTGGTAGTTTGGTAAACAGTGACATCAACGACATGTCTTGTCTGTAAAATGCCCGAAAAGTAAAAGAATGGGAGATAAATATCCGAACGTCTCCACATTTTATTATATTTGTAATGTGTTTCTGTTCCTCTTTCAGTTGAGACAGTGTAGATGAAGGATGTGTCAGGATGTAGAACAGGATGTAGAACTCTTGTGTGAACATTGGATAAAGCCAGGTTCATATTCTTGTTTCATGTTGTTGACATATTAGAGTCAAAGGTTTGCACAGAGCGAAATATCTTTGTGTTGCGCCATAAATCAGAAAATACTGCATTAAAAAAGTCATTTCCTGCATTTTTCTACTGATAAAGTGTGATATAAATAATGTACAGGCTTTCAGTTTGCTGTAGTTCACTAAACAGAGACATTAACTACATGTTTGGTGTTGAAAATGTCAGAAAAAGTGAAGGAATGGGAGATAAATATCCCCAAATCTCAAAATTGTATTATATTTTGTGTGTGTTTGTGGTCCTCTTTCAGTTGAGACACTGTAGGATGCTTCTGGAAAAGACCAAACACTGGATGTCTTTCAGTCGCCAACATGTGTTTTCGAGACACTGATATTAACGGGGAAATCCTGCAGGACTCAAATGCCTCGTCGGGGGTAACGCTGCCTTTCCCGCAGCGTTACCCCCGGTCTGCACGTTGTTTTTCTTTCAGAAACACAGAGGACTACTGTTTGTATGATGCGATCACGCTGCAAACGATGTCCACCAAAAGTCGAGTCCAGTGTCTATGGAGTGTCATTTTTATTTGTTATAATTTGGGAAG